TGCGCCAGACCCGGGACGCTGCCGCCCTCCGCCCTCCTGCCGGGGGCGTGGAGAGGTGTCCCCGAGCGGGCCTCTGGGCGCCTGTGTGGGGTGCGGCTGAAAACACCTGCGTAGGAAAGCTTTCCTGCGGGTCTCTGGCTGCAGTGCTGAAGCCTCCCCCGAGGGCCACATTCTTGTATAGCGGTGTGATGGTATGCTTAGCGACTCTAAAACTTACTGTTTCCTGCGTAGGCCTCCTGTGAATCAGAACTGTCCGGCTGTGTTTTGCAGGTATTAATATACATACACTCTGGAGTTACCAACATCGTTCTTTTGTGCGAGGCCTCCAAATTCAATGCGTTGGTTTGGCCTGTTGCACTCACCATGTTTAAACTTAATGCCTAGAATTTGGATTCTCTGTGACCATTTTTGGTTAGTAGTGAAGGCTGCTTACAGTGGTGTTTGGGTTTGAGGGCATGGTTGAACAGAATGATACTTTAAAAGGACCAGATTTTTAGCTTGCTTTTTGCATGTCACTGATACTTGTTGCAGAAGTGTTATGGCAAGCGATAGTTTGGTAAAAGTTTACCTTTTCTGCTATTAAGTCTGTATAATATTGAACAGTTACCATGTGATACTATGTTTTGATGATTGAAAAGCAGTTTGAAAAAATAGCGGAGAAGTGTAAAAAGTGTATGATTCATTTTCTAATCATAAAATGTGACGACCCAGCCCCTTACCCCTTTCACTTTTCTCTTAGTAATTGGAAAAGTTTTTACTGTGGTTCTTCGGAGCCTACGAATACTGTTTACATATGAGATAAGGAGCAAAGAAAATTTGTATATAAAAGGAGCCCGATGGGAATAGGATAGGGTTGCCCAATTAATACAAAATTCCTTTCTTTGTTTTTGGTGAAATAGAGAATATTCTTGTTACATTCTTGCCAGCTCTTCTAGTGTGAAATGGATCACATTTGTTTCTCAGAAAAAAAGACGTATAGAAAAAGCAGATAGATTGTGGTATTTATGTACAATGGAGTACTACTCTGCCACAAAGAAGAATAAACTTGAGTATTTATAGGAAAATAAATGCATCTTGATAATCTTTTTTTTTTTTTTTTTTTTTTTTTTTTTTTTTTTTTTGTACCAGGGATTGAACTCCAGCCCTTGCACTTGCAACGCAGGCAGTAGAACCACTGAGCCAAATCCCTGGCCCCTCAAGACTATAATCTTAAGTGCAATACATCAAACACACAAGTTTAAATATCACAGTGTTTCTCTTGTATGAGAAACCCAAAGGGAAAATAAGGGGAACAATGGCGGATAGATACTGGGAAGTAGGAAGAACTTGTTCAAATGTGAAGAGGAACAAGGAAGTGGGGAGAGGGAAGGGAAGAAAGGAAAAAGGAAAAACAGAATGGAAGGAAAAAAATGGAAGCAAAAATTTTTTAGTTGAGAAGGAAAGGGCTGAAGGGAGGATGAGTGGGAAAGGAAAATTAAGATATATTACATGTGCAAATGTGTATGTACAGGTACAAATTCGCTCTGATGAATATGATCAATATGTATGACAAATATGTACTAATACTAAAATAAAGTTAAAAAAAAAGAAAAAGCAGGTAGGACCAATATAACCTCGTGTGCTTTGCACCATTGTGAATGTTTCTGGCCCTAAAAAATAAGAGTTCTATGTAGTTACCAGCAATATTGAAATCCTTAGAGTTGACTTTGAATATATGAATTTATTCAAATGTGGATTCTGTATAGGGTAAGTGAGGTAAACTAATATTAGAGGAAAAAGATAAAAGTCTGGTACAGAAATGTATTTTAGTGCTCTAAATTATAAAATTATAAAATTTAGAGCAAGATTCTTTTTGAAAAAAAGAGATTTTGTAAGGATGTGGGAAGTTGCTGTCAACTGCTGCTTTTTCTCCAGCCAGAGTAATCTGCTAATAAGTAAAACTCAGTTATTAGAAATAGTAAGGAAAATGTTAAAAATGATTGGGTGAAAAGCTGTGTGAGTTACATTTTTTAAAATTAACTTTATTTTTAAGATACTGTACTTTGCTTTTGGTACCAGGGATTGAACTCAGGACCTTGCGCTTGTAAGGCAAATGCCGTAACACTGAGCTAAATCCCCAGTCCTATTTTATTTATTTGTTTGTTTGTTTATTTATTTATTTATTGGTCTGTGGAATCAAACTTGGGGCCTTGTGCTTGCGAGGCAGGTGGCAGAACCACTGAGCTAAATCCCTGGCCCTCCCAATCCTAATTTTTAAAGCAAAGTATGTATGGTAACTAAAACTAAGCTAATGAATCCAAGTCCTCAGGAATTCTTTTTAAATAAGAGAATAGCTTTAATTTGTAATTACTAGTATGATCAAAAGAATGTCAAGAATTGATTTAAAGTATTCTGATTTACAAACTTTCATTTTTCTAGGTGGTTTAGTATTCATTCACTACTGGTTTTGATTTCAAGTCCCTTATTTTTCAATAATGTAAAGATAAATTTTAGGCTTCTGAGTTACATATATATTCTATATATGTGAAATATTTTCCCTCCTAGGTGTTGTTGGTGACTGTATACTAGCTGTAGTTTTTGAAGTCCTTCTTAGCTATTTAGATGCTTTGATTATTTCTTTGGGATGAATACTATTTAAACCTCATAAGCTAGTGTTTTTACCAATGCACATATTTTTGGTTATCTGCCAGATTTAAGGACCACAGTACAACTATGGATAGTGAACCAAACCCTGGAGCATCTTCGGTATCCACAACAACCAATAGCACCACCACCACCACCATCACCACTTCGTCCTCTCGAATGCAGCAGCCACAGGTCTCTGTCTACAGTGGCTCAGATCGACATGCTGTTCAGGTATTTTAGCCAGAATGATGGATAGGTTGAGACTTAGGCTGTCATATTACTTTTTGCTTGAGCCAGATGCATGTATTAATTCATATCCTGAAATGTACATTAGAATTGCTAATATTTAGGCTGTGGATGTAGCTCAGTGGTAGAGTGCTTGCCTGGCCTGTACAAGGCTTTAGATTGATCCTTAGCATTAGCAAAAATTGTTTTTTTTTTTGGTATTGGGCATCAAACTTGGGTCCTTGTGCTTGCAAGGCAGGCAGAGGAACCACTGAGCTAAATCCCTGGCCCAAAAATTGTTAATGTTTGAAATAAACAACTAAACTATTTAATAATCATACTATTGAGATGGCTTGCATTTGTCAGCACGTGTCAGGAAAATTATAATTAGGTCTCTAGGTGCTGCTACAAAGTGAAGATGCTCAATCCAGAGCCCTCTCCTAGTTACTTTCTTGTTCCTGGGACAGAATTTAAACAAAACAGGTGTATTTTGGCCCATGTTTTCAGTCTGAGATTGGCTCTTACCAAGGCAAAAAGGGTCCAGGTGGAGGAAAGCTGCTCACAGCATGGCAACCAGGAAGCAGAGTGAAGGGAGGATCCTGGGTGGGAGATATATAGTCTTCTAAGTCACACCCCCAGTTATCATTTAGTGTGAACTCTGTCTCAGCACGTTCTAGGCAAATGCTTTATCACTGAGCTATATCCCCAGGCCCTCATAATTATATTCTTAACTATTGTGATATAGTCCTTCCTTTGCTCTATTTTTTGTGGTAGATATCCATAAAATATACTAAAAAAATATAAACAGTACAATGACTGTATCACTGTTCTATGGTTTAGGATTTAGTTTTCTGAAGTCATTGTAAAATAGAATGAGAACTATTGTGACCCAGCCAGCTGAGCAGAAATGAAAAATGAAATATAGAGTGTGCTTTTAACATTCTTCACCTTTCTTAGAGGCAAGGGATGTAGAAAGAGTATCTAGATCTTTAAGCATATGGATGGTGTTATTTATTTATTGGAGGTACTGGGGATCAAACTCAGGACCTTAATGCTTGTGAGGCAGGGGCAGTGCCACTGAGCTAAATCCCCAGCAACCCCCTTCCCCCTGCTGTGATATTTTAATATGCCCATTTTCTCTTTGGATTTTATTTAAGTTGGATATATTAATAAAAATAAAGTATTACTGGAGATAATGTAGATGTATTTCACAAATAGCTCTAGTTCTTCTAAGATCATAGAATTGCTTTTCCTAAAAGACTCAAATCAATCTTTATTGAATTACTTAAATAATTCTTTAATTTTCCAGATTTATTTTTCAGTCCTGTGAATTCTCATCACCCTCCTTGTTCCTGTAGAGAAATAAAATAAGAAGCTGGGTGTGGTGGCGCATGCCTGTAATCCCAGCACTCAGGAGGCTGAGGCAGGAGGATCGCTGTAAGTTCGAGACCAGCCTGGGCTACATAGTGAGTTCCAGGTCAGTCTCAACTACATAGTGAGACCCTGTCTCAA